TTAAGTGCAAATAAGTCATGAATAAGTGGGGTTAAAAATAAGCTTGATAAAATTTAATATTAATTAAATAGATTATTTGTCATTTAATTGCAACTCCACTTTTATTTCAGAATTTTAGGTTTACACTTGTTGATTTCAAAACTTAATTATTTATTTTTAAATATTCAAGCTTACAAAGTAACCTAACTACCGTAAAGCCATATATCCCACAGAAGTATAAAAATTTTGAAGCTAGGATTTTGGCATGTTTGTTGATATCCTGATTTCCCGCACTCACCCACAATGAATATGCAGCTCAAAATTTTGGTAGAATTTATGCTTTTGCTTTGAAGAATGTGTCTTTAATTTCTTTGAATCATTTTAATGGATTACACATCCCACTTCAGACAAAGATCAAGTGGAGTATTCAGATGTGAGTGTTATAACAAGTAACGAGGATTTCACACAAAGTGTGAATGCCAGAAACGTATATTCATATGGGGCTAGGAACGATGACACAGTTGACCAATTAGCGGGTGAGAATTACAAGGTAACAGTTTCACTTCAATATTTGAGTATAATAAAAATTGTAAAATATTTTAATTTATAGATCAAAGATGTGGTGTCCTGTGTAGATAATATTTTATATAATAGACTGCCATGGTTTGTGTCTGAACTCAGGGATGGATTTACTGGGGGAGGGGGTGGGGGGGGTGCACCCCCCCCCTAGCCCTGACCAGAGGGTGTGCAGGGGTGTGTGCTATTTTTCATTATAAAGCAAAAAAATTGTTTGAGACAAAATGAGATACAGTAATTTGAGTAATAACATGATGATAAGCGAACTGTGATGTAAGCGAACATGATGATAAGCAAACAATTACAATTCAAATACAGTAGTCAAGCAAGACTTTGCAATAGTGAAACAAGTTGATGGGCGGGTGACACAACTTGGCACCAGAGCTGGCAGAGCACCCCCCCCTACCAGATCATGCTGGATCCATCCCTGTCTGAACTACCTGGAAAGTTTTCTCAAATGTGCAAGTCCAGTGTTGGTTAAGCATTCTACAACAAGCTGCCTTGAAGCTGATATATGTGTTGCTAATCTCCACTCGAAAAAGGGCCTCTGCTTGAAATAGAGTAGTTTTGCTCAATGTAGTTTGACAGAAAGCATGGACTGAAACTAAATATGTTTCTTCTTGGTCTTAAATCACAAGCCTAATCCTAACCCCATTTTGCACAAAACATGAAGAAATTACCACGTGAAAATGAGGCTGTTCGGGCAAGAGTGTTGTGCCTTCCTAGGTTGGTGATAAAATAATCCTGGTGTTTCCAAACCATGTGAAGGGATACTTAGCACTTCCAATCATGCTTCATTCTTCAAGTTGCAATGACTACAATACTGCAGGTAAATTATGTATCTTTCGTAAAATTATGTATTGTATTGAGTCTATTTAGTATTATACTACTGTAGTTGGGCAATTAGCAATCTCGTTCCCCGAGCATGCCCGTTCGCAGGTTAAGGGTGGGCATAGCTCTGGAGAAATCGAATTGATTCAGGCCTGTGATTGGCTAACGGCAGATAGTACGTTGGATTTCCAACGTGAGTTCTATATAAACAAAGTATTTGGAATTTCTCGTCGAAAATTTGATACTAGAAATTCTGGAGGAAATATGTACGAAAGCTGCGGATTGATAGGGATACAACTACCTGAAAAATACAAGGAGAACTTCGACGTTTCGAGCGAAGGCGCTTCGACACCGTGCTTCGACTTGAGCTGTTTAGTGTTTGTATACATCGTACTTGACCTTGACTTATACTGTCATACCTAACACTACGTATACAGAAGAGTTAAATGTAAATTTTAAAGCATAAAAATATATAATACTTATTATTGAGGAGATTATATGTATACAAACACATAACAGTACAGATCGAAGCGCCTTCGCTCGAAACGTCGAAGTTCTCCTTGTATTTTTCAGGTAGCTGTATCCCTATCCAACCGAAGCTTTCGTACATATTTCCCCCAGAATTTTTAGTTGTTTTCAATTCGATTTCAGTGTAAAATGTATCAAATTTTCGACGCGAAATTCTATAAAATACTTTATTTATATTTTGCAACATTGCCGAGCATGCGTAGAACTCACGTTGGAAATTCAACGTGAATCAATTCGATTTCTCCAGAGCTATGCCCAACCTTAACCTGCGAACGGGCATGCTCGGGGAACGAGATTGGGCAATTAGCCATTCCGAAGTTGATGAGAGGACTGGGGACGAATGTTAAAAAGTGCCCAAATTACGAAATGAACTAAATCGCTAAAAAGACCACCTCAGAATTAGTAAGTATACAATGTTTGAAGACGTCTACATGAATACCCTTCGAATAATAAGCTTTCGAAAATGGTGATATTTACTATGAAATGTATTGTAATTTTTGTTTTTGGGGACGCGCGTCCCAAAAACAATTTTTTAATCAGTAATTTCACAATTTTCGAAAGCTTATTATTCGAAGGGTATTCATGTAAACGTCTTCAAACTTTGTATACTCACTAATTTTGAGGTGGTCTATTTAGTGATTTGGTTCATCTCTTAATTTGGGCACTTTTTAACACTCGTCTGGGGTGTTGGTTGACTTGGTTCGTTATAGTCATTATAATTTTGAATGGTCCATGCCAGTGTAGGTAGTGGCAATGATAAGAAAGCGTTGGATTGATAGGAATACAACTACCAGGAAATTACAAGGAGAATTTCAATGTTTTGAGCACTTAAAAAAAAACTTTAAAAAAACTAAAAAAGTAGCAGGGCTGCAAATTACTGTCGGACATCGGACAATGTCCGACTAAATTTGGCAAATGTCCGAGCAAAAATAATTTTGATCGGACGTCCGATCACACAAAAAAAAAATTGTCACATACATTTTTTTGCTGTGACAAAATCCGATTGCAAATTTGCATTTTGCAATATAAAGGCATTCCAGCATTTTACTTAACGTTGCGCCGGAATGGCTATACATACTTGTCTCGTGACTTATATATCTTGTGACGTATATATGTCTGACCAAATTTAGTGATGTTGGTTTTTGTCCGACCAAATTCAAGTTATGTCCAACCAAAATTAAAGATGATCGGACAAATGTCCTGTCAATTAAGTCAAATATTTGCAGCCCTGAGTAGTTTATATAGTAGCCCGCGTGCAAGCCCACTATAGTTATAGCGAACTACATTTTGCCTAAAAGTAGCCAAGTAGTTGACTATTTTTCAAACAGCGAATCGCTATTTGCTACTTTTTAAAATTATTAGCAACTTGATAGAATAGCATGATATTGAGACAGGGTTTGCTTAAAATCAAAACTCAATTGTCAATTTTCACTCCTGAACACTGTAGTGTGTACAAAAATGTTGCTTTGTGTTTACTGTTGCTACTCGTAAGTCGATTGGTTATAGGTTACATTACAGCCTGAGTTAGTAGATGCTCCAAATACAGTAAAACTAAAAAATATAGCGTAGCGAAATAGCGAAATAGTTCGCTACATTTTTTAAGCAGTAGCTGTAGTCAGTAGCGAACTACCTTTGTTCAAAAGTAGCAGTAGTTGTAGCTGACTACATATTTTTGAAGTAGCTGTAGTTATAGCGAACTACAAAAATTTGTAGTCAACCCACCCTTGATTTTTACTCAATAACTTCTTAACAAATGGCCTTCACTTAAAACGTCGAAGTTCTCCTTGTATTTTTCAGGTAGTTGTATCCCTATCAAGGGTGCATGGGTTGACTACAAAATTTTTGTAGTTCGCTATAACTACAGCTACTTCGAAAATATGTAGTCATGCAGCTACAACTACTGCTACTTTTGAACAAAGGTAGTTCGCTACTGACTACAGCTACTGCTTAAAAAATGTAGCGAACTGTTTCGCTATTTCGCTACACTATATATTTTAGTTTTACTGTATTTGGAGCATCTACTAACTCAGGCTGTAATGTAACCTATAACAAATCCACTTACGAGTAGCAACAGTAAACACAAAGCAACATGTTTGTAAGCACTATAGTCTGCACTACAGTGTTCAAGAGTGCAAATTGACTATTGAGTATTGACTTTAAGCAAACCGTGTCTCAATATCATGCTATTCTATCAAGTTGCTAACAATTTTAAAAGGTAGCGAATAGCGATTCGCTGCTTGAAAAGTAGTCAACTGCTTGGCTACTTTTAGGCAAAATGTAGTTCGCTATAACTACAGCTACTGTTTTAAAAAAGTAGTCAAAAACTACTGGCTACTTGAAAATTGTAGTTCGCTACAGTAGCGAACTACAACTACTTCGCTACAACCCACCCTTGATCCCTGTCAATCCAAAGCTTGATCTTATAGTGAATGTTTCATTTTTTCAGGATATTTTCAAGATGACGCGACAGAATGTGTGCGAAGTTTCTCTGATCTGTCCTCAGAGTGTTCTAACTTACCTATGTTGTCAGCTGGAAGTTATTACTCAAATTTTCAAGTGGCAATGGTATGCAGTTTAAAAAGTGTCGATATATAAATAGACCTTTCCCCTTTTTAGTGAAATTTTGATCTAGACTAGCCTGGACAAAAATTTCATCACAGCTTGAAAGCATCACAAAATTAGTAATATTCCGAAGTTTCGTTGCGAAATGTTGTAAAATGCGGATAATATAGCCTTGCAAAGTTTGCCGTTTTTCAGTCATTTTGTATTACAAATGGGAAATTGATAATCAGTTTGATCATCTGATTATCAATTTTCCGTTTGCAATGCAAAATGACTGAAAAACGGCAAACTTCGCAAGGCTATATTATCTCCATTTTACAAAATTTCGCAACGAAACTTCGGAATATTACTAATTTTGTGAATTGTGATGCTCTTTCAAGATGAAATTTTTGTCCAGGCTAGTCTAGATCAAAATTTCACTTAAAAGGGGAATGGTCTATTAACAGCCTTTAAATGGCAATGTAGCGCTGATGGCAATGTGCCCAATGTGTCCTACAGTACTTTATTATTTTACTCTATTTAACACCAGACAAGTTCACTCTTCAAGGGGAGAGGGGTTAATCAGATTCTCTGACCACTAAGCTCCTGTTAACCGTTTAAGTGGCAACGTGCCCAATGCGCCCTACTTTATTATTTTTGCCGCCGCAGCGAGCGAGCATTAAGTGAGCGAGCAAGGCAGCACACTAAAATCGTACACTATTTATTACTCTATTAGTTTAGGTTTTTGTCGAGGGTCGAGTGTCGAGGGTCCAATGTCGAGGGTGAGGGTAAAAAGGCGCTAGATACCAAGCCTTTTTAACACGTCTTCTCTAGCCGCGTTGTGAATCGTAAACTCTCTTATTTCTGGAATACAGCTACAGTATTGCATTTTTTGGGACATCCTGTATCAATTCTATGTTCAGTAATCTATTGTTACTATATTCTCTAGTCTCCACAAGCGTTTGTACTCTCGCGAAACACAACTTCAAATTCATCAGCAAGATCTGGAAGTTTCAACACATCTCTGGTGTTTACACCTCAGCTGTCTGTACCATTACTGTGTCGTGACAACACTGGAGTGCTAAATCAATGTAGTTTTACTTCACCGCCTGCGCCAGTCTATAACATGACTACAAACACGTGTGAGAATGTCGTCACAGAGGTGAGATGTTGTTAACATGCATCCTCACAATTTTGATAAATCTGTGTCTATTAAAACAGAATAAGCGCAGATGTTTTTCAAAATTTGCTTAATATCCGCTAAAGGAATACATTAATGGTTAATTTTGATATTCGAATGATATTCAAGTGATATATTCTAACAAATTCTAACTACTATTTACAGCTCGAACGGGCAAATAGTTTCAAACTAAGCACAAACTTTTTGGCATAGTTTCAAACTAAGCCAAAACCAACCACAAAGCGGGTTATTCTGGCTAACTATTTTCCTTGGTTTTGGCTTAGTCGTACTGCTATTATTGGCAAGCAAGTTAATCTTGGCTTGGAAATAAGTATGAATGACACAAATTACTTAATATCTTCACAATATTTAGTTCAAAATTAATACATTGTGCTGATATTAATTTGTGTCATTCAGACTTATTTCCGACATTTTCTCTGACGGCACTGTAAAAGATATTTTAAGGCCTGTAATTACATAACTCGCCCAAATACTCATGGTATTTAAAAAAATTAAATATCTTATTTTCTTTATATTATTTTTAGGTCGCCTATACATTTATTTATTCTAACGAAAGTTCCAACTTGGAGCAACTGAATGTCTCATTTGTTCTTGAAAATATTCGAGACAATTCTCTACAGAAATTTTCGATCAAATTTCTCAAGGTATTTACTGTAAAAATTCATCATGTGACGTCCAGTGTGGGTTACTGGGACTGAGAATGACAGACACAAAAATGGGCCTGGAAAAACTATACCGTAAACCTCCGACTATAAGCCCCCCCCCCCCGAATATAAGCCCCCCGTGTATAAGCCCACCACATGTACCAACGCTCACCTCATTCCAATTAAAAGCCTCCCCGAATATAAGCCCACCCGAATATAAGTCCCCCGAATTAATATAAGCCCAGTAATCGCTGCTTAATACATGTTTATTTTCCTGTTTATGACTGACTTTTTTATGTCTCACTTGTTTGTTACTAACACAAAAGATCGTCCATGTATAAGCCCCCCGTATATAAGCCCTCCCATTGTATAAGCCCATCAAAAATCGCTTACGAAAGTATATAAGCCCAGGGCTTATAGTCGGAGGTTTACGGTATACCGTACCAGAATGTTTTCTGTGGACATTTCCAAGCCTGAAAATAAATTTCCAACGGTGCCTGACAAAGTGTCAGGTACCAAATGATTGGTGCCTGACACTAGACATTTTGTGCCTGACAAAAATATGAACGCAATAGAGCAAATATAGTTTTCCGTGGTCCTTGAAATAAAAGAAGCCAATGAAAAGCTTTGTAACAAATATTTTGAAATATTATAATGAAATTTTTAATGCCAGTTACAGACTGTTTCACCAATAGTTGTCTGTCTGGCAAAAAACCCAGTTGTGTCGGACACTGATCATCTTTTCGTACCGCACAATGTCCGTGACCGGCTGCTTATTTTCAGGCTTGGACATTTCAGAGTGAAATAGCTTGAGCAGCTTCTGATCTAGAACGTCCAGGGCAACTGCATTTAACCGAGTTCTGGTTCGAAGAGGTTATTTTTCCTGCTGTTGCGAATCCAGTGATCTACTTGCACAGTGAGCTTTGCCTGTTTTGTGTAATTGTAGAATAGAACGGGTTGTGATATATGTGGAAACTTTTCCACAGCAAAACCGTTTCTAAAGAGAAATAGGTTTTTAAAGTCATCACAAAGATGAACCACCTACTCTGGAATTTTCTTTCAATCTCGCATTTATGACTTGGATTTGGTCTAAAAAATTTGGGAAATGGGATCAACACCCCCATGCCCACCTCCACACCGCACCCCCGCCCAATCCCAACCTACTCCCAGCCCTTCAGGTATCCGTTTTAAGTCCTGGCCAATAATAATTTGGGTGTGGCCAATACTGTTTTGCTCTACTGAGGCTCCGGCTATTAATTGATGAGCAAAGCGAGTATGCAAAGTATGGAAGGTCGAAGCTTCAAGGCGGCAAGTTGAAAGGTGGGCACACTGGGCAAAGGCTTGCAAGCTTTGTCTATTTGGTATAGCCTATTGTGCGAGAAGAAGGCTAAAAATTTCAGCCTGTCATGACTGCAAGTACCGGCAAATTACACACAGCCTCTGGCGAGTGGCTGTCAAATGTCTTCTTAGCGCTGACGAAATTTGCCGTTCGCCGGCTTAAAACAGGATGGATGAGTACTACTCCCCTACCTCCTTTCATTACCCTTGATATAATGATGGGTTCAAGTTGTGATGATTTGTGATCTTTTTAGGAAGGAAAGGAGGACGTCTTTACGAAATCTGGAAATCCTGGATATTTAGTTGATCAACCGATACTAGCTGGACTTCTTCAACTTAATCTAGCCACAAATAAGTATGATCTTGTATGGATTGTGCCAGTGATGGATTCGTCTTCTTTTCAATCCTTTGGTCAAACTAACTCGTGGTCTTTTACTATTTTCAGGAAAGCTATCATATTAAGTACGAACAGCAAAGAATGGCTGACTGTTCCCAAGGCCACGGTGGATGGGTTCTGGAGTGAATGAGCGATTGTCAGTGACTTTTGATGTGAACACAAGATCTGGATGTATGATAAGGTAACAGCAAGGCTACACCCGTAAAAATCTCACAACTTGTCAACAAGATGTGTTCGCAACAGGCTTGTAACAATGCTGTTATTTCATCAAGTTGCTACAAGGTTGTCACTCGTAACTTGTTGACAAATTGTTGAATTGCAGGAAGGATAACAAGTTGTTGGAACAATTTGTAACAAGTCTGTTGAGCTCAACAACCTTGCAGAAGCAGGAGCTGGGAACAAGCAGTGCGAACACATCCTGTTGACAAGTTGTTGGAACAGCATTGCTACAAGTCTGCTCTAGGTTTATTACAATTGGTGCATTTTCACGTGTGTACGAGGAGTACGCACTCCAGTAATAGGCCAAGGGGCTATATATCTTTCTCCAAATAAAAAGAGCTCTCTGGTTTTGGAATCCCTGGGTATGAGAATTGGCAGCTAATGGAAAGGGGAGATGCTGCTCTCATCATCTACTATCATTTCAATCTTTGTTTTAGACTCAACCACACATCTTTTTTGTACATTTTTTGCTTGATCAATTACCTGAACAGGCTAAGTTTAGTTACAGTACACTTTTAGTTCTTGTGAAAGGTTATGTGTTGTTAAGAAGCCAGCCATCAAGAAGATTAGAAATAGCAAAGACATTTTCACTAAACATTTCTTCTCTTCATCGTATTGGTATCCAGTTCTTGGTTTTTAGATAAAGTTAAACTTACAAAATGTGTGACCCATCATCTAATCATTTCATTCAATTCTTTCCTGTAGACTCAACCAGACATCTGATTGTTCTTTACTGCAAGGCATGGTCTACGCTGCTTTGCTTGGCACCAGTCCTCCAGACTATGTCGCGAGTTTTGGTAATTCAGATGTCCAGAATGCCGCTGATTGGGTGAAAATCATTAATGATAAGCCTGCGAACACGGTAGGTAAAAATACAAATATTTTTCATTCGAGTTTATAGACGCGAACACAATCTTGATATTTACCCATAATCTATGCACGGCAGTACCCTAGTATACATACATGAACTGGCGGTTAGAGCTCGACAACTGTCTCTCTGTAGCTCAGTTGGTTAGAGCTCGACAACTGTCTCTCTGTAGCTCAGTTGGTTAGAGCTCGACAACTGGACTCTGTAGCTCAGTTGGTTATAGCGCTGCAACATTAGATTCGAATTGTATTATCAGAATGAGCATTAGAATCGAATTACATTATTAGAATGAGCCAGATCTGGAAATAGTGGTGGATCCTGGGAACGACGTTCCTAGAAATTTTTTTGATGATTGCTAGAAAGGATTTTCAATTTTCTTTGCCAGAAAGTTTTGAAATTTCTTTTAAAAAAATTATCCATAAAAATCAACAAAAAGGTTAAACATTTCCCAAATTTTCTTAGAATTGAAAACGCTGATATAAGTGATATATCACTTGATGCACAAATCGGTCAAAAAACGTTTTTTTCACTTGAGCATACATAAAAATATTCCTTGAAATTTAAATTTCTTTATCACACAACTTGCAAATGTCAAATCAAGTAGTAATAAACTCTTATAAGTTATAACTACAACTGTAAGAAGCTATTACACTATATAAGCATTTATTACAATTTAATTTGATATGCTAAGACCTAACATTAGTAACATAGAATTAATTAATATTATGATTATTATCCAATATTCAATTTATTGATTAATTGAATAGATTTTGTTAACAGTGAAAGCTGTAAAGTGTGGTTGATGTTTAAACCAACTAAATTTTATGAGAGTGTTTTCAAAGAAAATATTTTCCCCTGGCCTAGGATCCAAGAAAGGCTAGAATTATTTCCAGGTCTGGAATGAGCATTAGAATCGAATTGCATTATTATAGAATGAGCGTTAGAATCGAATTGCAATCCCTTCAATATAAGTCCTGAAGTGTGTGTTATTTTCGTTATCAGGCCAGTGGTAGCGGAGGCGTGTGCTCCGATATGGTTCTTGGTATGAGCATTGAAATATTGTTTGCTAATGTTGGGTATTTGGCAAACCCACAAGCCAAGGTACAGTATCATGGATACTCTGCAGTCTTCGCAATTTCAAAAAAAAATATGTCCGTAGGCGAAAAATTGTCGTCGTTACAGTATCATTAGCCGTGCTGCACCTTGTAACCAATAATCTAAATAGTTGTAAAGCCATTGTATGCAATAAAGTATTGGGTTGCAATGGGTTTACGATTACAATAACCTTAATCTAAATGGTAATCCTAATCCCAACCCTAACCTCTAACCCTGAAGTTGATGACCTTTTTTTAATAAATTCCCCCTCCCCTAAATACAAGGACGCCGGAGCGAGGGTAGGGCACAGGGGGGCAATGTTGACGTAAGGGCAATCACTAATTAATTAAGGGCAAAAACATTTTAAACTGAACTGACATATTGTTTGACACAATATTCCAGAAAATTTCACCTATATTTCAATGTTACGTCCATTTCACATGTAATTCATACCGCTTTTTAATCGTAGTCCCTCATATTTGTTGGGTTAGAATTTTTATCTAAGGGCACTTTCGCCCCCCCCCCCTGTCCCCCTTACTAAAGGGCAAGGGAGCGATGCGCCCCCCTTTCCGGCGTCCCTGCCTAAATGATAACGTTGGAAAGAGGTGTGTGGTCTTGAGCTCAATCAGTGAACTGAGTTCAATGTTTTCTTTACAGATTATCGGAGTTCGTTTCAAATATGAACAACCTCAGGAAATCGTTTATCAGGTAAGACCCTACCTCGGGCCCTGCACTACAGGTATATACCGGGTGGCCAAAAAAACTATACACTGTTTGATTTAATATAGCAGAAAGGCATTTCATTCGGTATTTCATTGAAGCCAACTTAAATTTCAAATTATTTCCCATTGAATTTTCAATTTCGCAATCTCGCAAGCCAGAGTTTTTACAATATTACTAATATTTCTTATGACAAACGCCTAAGAAACATAACTCCTAAGACAACGTCGTGAGGCCTTCGCATTAACAAACTGTCCAAAATGCTTTGGTGACATGCATTTTCCTGCCAGGCAATGTACTTTAGGACGAATTGTACTTAAGTTTTTTCAGAAATATTATATTTCAAACAAATATGCCGTACATGCGGTTTTTACCACAACTAAAACAATAACAAGCTTACACCATATATATCTCATATATACACTAGATAGCGCATCTCTTTTAGTAAAATTGAAGCCAAGAATATTCCAGCTGTTACCCCCATTTGAATAGACGGCGGTCATGTTGGAGTTTCCCACTCGCTAATAAACGCTTAAAAAACAACAATAACTTTCATCATTTGAATAGTTTGAAAATGTATTTGGAATACGTTTAACTTAATGTTTAAGTTCCCTGTTTAAGAAATAGAAAACATACGAGTCTTCTCATTTCATGGGAATATCCTGAGTCTGCAATCACAGCTTCAATTTTTGAATTGCAGAATAATTAGATGCACTATCTAGTGTGTATATAAGATATCTATGGCTTACGCATGTAGATACAATTTCATAGTCTATTTTATGCCAATGTTTAGCATTGTCAAAAATGCTTGTTCGATTTAATACATTGATATCTCAGTTATTGATTTCTTTAAAATTTCTTCAATTTTAGTGTATTGGTCAATTTTGCCAAGGCAGTGGTTCGGCAAGTCAATATGTTGAAGTTGTCTCGTCGGTATCATTCATCGATATCTCCCAACCACCGATATCTGATCAAAAATCTCTGCCAGAATTCCAATCTAAAGCACCTTCAGATTTCTTTCATCCGTTTCTCTGAAGAATTCTTGGACTCACGTGGGGTGCACGTGATGAAATCATCTCGTCACGTGACAAGTTGATCTATCATGTGATGTGAACATGATGTTCACGTGTTCAAATCATGTTATCACGTGGACAAATCAATTTATCATGTAATGTCTACGTGGTGTGCATGTGATCAAATCGTGTGGTCACGTGGGCAAGTTGGATTATCAGGTGATAAACTGATAAAAGGCAAGACTCAAGACTCCAATTTGGAAGCGTCTATGGAGATATTTGTTAATGTGAATCTCTCAAAAATGGTAAAGATCTGAACACATGAACTAATTACGCTATCACATGGACGTTTCATGTCCTGTGTATCTATGTCATGGTCAAGAAGAAAGATCTCACGTGATGGATTCGAGCATGGTTGGATTACTTAGTTGGATAAGATGGATTGCAAATTATTTTGCCATTGTTTTTTTCTTGCTGTTAGAACTCATTTAATGACAATATAATATATCCGGCAACTTTGGCAGTGAAAACTTGATAAAGATGAGCTACCAACAATTATATTTTGGGGTTAGTGGCACCCCTAAATAGACCACAATGCATTGTAATTTCGAGATTAAGGTCAATCGGCTGTTTTACTCCAGTAGAACTCCAGTTACGTATATAACCCATCGGGAACTTGACTAGTGTGACGTCATTGTTACGTAAGCCGACATAAATTATGCCGAATAATTTATCCGTTGGAAAAATTTTGTAAATTTCAAAAATTTTACTTTCGAAGTAAAAATTAGAACATACGTTCCACAAATTAAAAGCCTTCGAACGAAGAAAATTGTATCGGCTTTTACAAAGTATTTAGCCATGTTTGTTCGCTTCTCAAATAGTTGAATAAAGCATTATTTGTTTGTCTGGAACCTTTGGATTTTTCAAAGAATGGCTAAAAATTTTATACGACCGACGACACGGCATTCGCTTGCGGCATTTTTCCTGTACTATTTCTTTGTTGGTCTGAGGGTTTTTGCCGAATCAAATGCCGATAAAAGTCAACATGAAAGTAAGTATGGTGTTCACTATATAATTTGCGAAGTAACAGTGTTGTTTTGGGGTTTATTTAGTCGCCGTGGCTATTCGTACTGGAACAGTACGCCGAGTTTGATTTGCTATTCGTACTGCAGTCGTAATATTTAAGATAAACATGACCCCAACCCCAACCCCTTCTCTAACCCTAACCAATAAAGGTCTAATAAACTATTTGAGAGTTAAAAAGTGGGGGGGAAAAAATATTCTAAGAAAAATTTCTAAGTCAACAGACAACCGACGACTAAAACTAAACGCGGACCCGACCTTGTTTCACTTTGCACGCACGCAGCGCCTCTGCCGATTGCGCTAGCGGCAAGCTCGCTAAAATCTGTTGCAAAAAACTATTTTATATTGCTAGTTTACGTAATGTAAGAATCATAGAGATTATAAATAAGTGTTATTTATAATCTCTATGGTAAGAATCGGGTGCTATATTGTACGAAATGGGTGCTATATTCCAGTACGAATAGCCACTTCGTTATTTAGTTATAACATCATAAAGTTCTGGTCACGATATATAGTGATCGATGTATATTTTTGCCTCGGGCATATCTTATAAAGTTCATACTTTGCCAATAATGTTTTAAAAAAAAGTAATACGAGTGTTGAACACAAGTATTGCAGTGCAAGTAATAGGTGGCCAACATACTCTGATGGTCTGACCTTGTTCCTTTGGGGGTTACATGGGCAATTTTCAGCGTTGGCACACAGTGTTGAAGTGCCTTTATTTTTGTCTGTTCTATTTTTAAATGTAACCACAGTCTTGCAGAAGTCATATAATAGACTTGAACAACATTTTAAATAAACGATTGTGACGTTTCTCTGAGTGTATTCACACCGGGCAAGCGAAAAGTTTGCTTGACCGCTGTGGGAGTTGAACCGACGACCAGTGCGGACACACTCAGAGACCAGACTGCAGAGTATGGCAGTTTTCGACGAGATCTCGGGTGTGCAAGACAAAAATTCAGGTGTGCAAGTGTGCAATCCTCAGTTAAGGTAGTCAAGTGTGCACTCAGTTAAGGTAGTCATGTTCTAATGATATTATTAAAACAATGATTGTTTATTTGTACAAATAACTAAAATTTCTGCCTCTCAGGAAAACAAAACGTGGTCCAAATTCTGACGAACAAACAAGAATATATATTTCGATCGGAGTTAAAAGTCATTATGAACACGTACAAAATAGCGTGTTTTTGACACACTTGGTGTCCTGTAAAAGGAAAATGTGCATGTCCTTGTAATTGAGTTGTAAATGGAAAAGTGTGCACTCGAAAATGCCATTTCCAACAATGTAGGGACTCCAAATTTCAAAACTTTTCCGCTCGGCGCCAACCATGGTGGCGCCTCGAGGAAATCGGACCAATTATAAGTTCTCTTGTGCCCATGCTTACATGCTATAGATAGAAATTCGAAACTTTAATGGACATTTCCGCCCATGAATCAGCGTTCCCGATTTTCAGGTGGTTGTTATATTACACTTGTCTTAGAAGTCCTTATTTTAATGCCTGACAAAACTGGAAAATATTTGAAATATGTTTAAGTGTGCAATACCATTGGCCAAAAAAAATCTCGGGTGTGCACTTGCCGTACTCTGCAGTCTGGCTCAGAGAAACAGCAATTGTATGCCACCTGAGTACACAACAGCAGAAACACAAATTCAGGAACATTTTAAATTCTTCGAAGAGGCAAAATAGCTCAGTTTTGAGACTTGATTCAGCTCGGGATAAGTTTTCCCCAGTTACACAATACCGGATTTGCATCGGAGCGAGTCGAGCGACATCATTCATGTTTGACGTTTTTGACCAATTTTGTTATATTATCATAATTTTGAGTGCTTAAAACTCCCCTTGAAACTGTAAAATTTTATGTCGCTCTGATGTGAATCCAGTATTGTGTAACTGAGGCCTTAGTGACTGACCAATTGTTCTACAATTGGAAATTACAGATTATTTGTGCAACAATCTACTCTATACTGATTATGTAATGATGTCATAATAACAGTCGAACGAGTAAAGATGATGTTATTCATTTTGATTTTTTAACCATAATTTTCATGTTAATTGCAAGCAAATTTTGTTAATTGAAACTATAAATGGCATGTTTAGCACATTAGTTTCATCACAGCAACATATTGCGTTAAAATGCAATGTGTATCAACATGCAACATTTATAATTTTTAAAGTGTGTATTTTCTCAACTATTTTCTCAAATTGGCTGGATAGTGATGCCGATTAATCATTAAGCCTAGTTCTCATTCATCGCAAACCGTCAGCGATGGGAGCTTTGCGAGTCACGTCCGCGACCGCTTGCCATTTAAGAGAACACATCAAAAATTATATCGCCGATTGTCCGTAATCGTTGCCGACCATCGGCGATGACATCGCAGGAAACAAAAAAGTTTGTTTCTTGCGACCATCGCCGACTGCCACCTGCTTGAAAAATCTATGAGAAATGAGTAAAAGTTGTTTTTTCCTCAACAAGCAAGGAAATAATCAACTGAAGTTTGACAGAAATCATGAAGTTTACATTGAATGGGGCCATTTTGTGCATTGGTTGGACATTTCGAAACACATCAGCTGTCATCTGCGACGATCACCAATGTATGAGAACTTTCGTGCATTCACACTCGGCAAGTATCGGCGATAAGCGTCGCCGATCGTTGGTGACAGTTTGCAATGAATGAGAACTAGGCTTTACTGAGATTTCATTCCCATTTGAACTGACATTCAAATTCAACCTGGGCTGACATTTTGCCATGTAATTGAGTTAACTAGGTTGAAATTCAGCCCAGGCAGAATTATGTAATCAACCCTTTAGTAATACAGTTATATTTTAGGTAGATAGATATGGTAAACCTCCCACTATAAGCCCTGGGCTTATATTCTTTCGTAAGCAATTTTTGATGGGCTTATACAAGGGGAGAGGCTTATATACGGGGGCTTATACATGGAAGATCTTTTGTGTTGGTGTATTAAATTGTGATAAACAAGTATAGTAATAGTGATAAACAAGTGTTAAGCATAGTAATAAATAGTGATTAATAGTGGTAATAGTGATAAACAATAGTGATATAAACAAGTGGTCTTGTAATTGAGTGGGCTTATATTCGGGGGGGACTTATATTCGGGGGGGGGGGGTAGATAGTTTAATGAGTCACTTTTTGCAGTACAATTGTTGATTACAATTGTTCAGAATAATTAACTAGGTAAAATTTTATTACATTTAAGATTATATTTTATTTTAATTATATTTTATTTTAATTTAAAAATTATATTTTTATAGTTTATCTTGGCTTGTCTCTTTTCTTTAGACAATGATTTTGATGTGTCTATAAAAACCATCAATGGAAAAATTTATGTAAATTGGAAAACGTCATCGCTTTGGCAAAACACTACAGTTTATTTTTTGAGTAGCCTCCATGATGACATAACCAATGCATCTCATGCAGTGAATGTAACCGTGTGCCATGCATTCAAAGACGACAAAAATTCCTGGAAAATTGAACCTGTTCAAGGAAATTTATTAGAATTGTGTAACAGGAGCAGAAAATGTGGGCCTGTTAATGCTGACGACTTGATAGTTCGAGCTACGTTGACCCAAGAATTATCGTGTCAACTTTTTACTACATGTACTAATTTTGAAGATGTTTTTCGCATCCAAGTCGTGTCGATTGGTGGAGGAAGGGAATATAGTTTTCAAAGTGGAAACATGACTATACTTTCTGAAAGTAAGTTTAGTACATATAAAGTATTACAGCAGTAGATGTACTATCCAGTAGTCATCATTTTGAGATCAGTGATAGTATCCAGTCCTTAATTTTGAGATCAGTAATTGCAGCAGATGCACTATCCAGGCTAGTTTTGAGATCAGCAATAGCGATAGCTGCACTATCCAGTCCTAATTTTGAGATCTGAGATAGCAGCAGATGCATTATCCAGTCCTAATTTTGAGATCAGTAATTGCAGCAGATGCACTATCCAGGCTAGTTTTGAGATCAGTAATAGCGGCAGCTGCATTATCCAGTCCTAATTTTGAGATCAGTAATTGTAGCAGATGCACAATCCAGGCTAGTTTTGAGATTCAGTAATAGTGGCAGCTGCACTATCCAGTCCTAATTTTGAGATCTGAGATAGCAGCAGATGCATTGTCCAGTCCTAATTTTGAGATCAGTAATAGCAGCAGGTGCACCATCCAGTCCTCACTTTGAGATCAGTGATAATATCCAATCTATCCAGTTATCAGTTTCAAATTATTGATAATATCCAGAGGATAATATCCAGTCTTAATTAATATTGAGATCATTAATAGCAGCAGATGTGCTATCCAGTCCTGACTTTGAGATCAGTGACTCCAATACATGCGTTAATACTCATAGAGAATATAAATAAAGCTAGAGGAGGCAAGGGTTCGAAATTTGCAGGGGTCGAAATTTAATTTTTTTTGTACTGTACAGCCAGAATAGTAGATTTTTATATTTACTATTCCGTCTGAAGATCCACTATTCCTTAATGTACTGTTTCTGATTTTCATGAAATCATCCTTGAGATACCTAAAGTGAACTGAATAATTGAATAACAAAAAATAAACATGTACAGTCAGTGCTGAACAAATTATTAATAAAAAACAAAGTTCAAACACCGAAATGAACTTGCGAACTTTGTTGCGAAGTTCGCGCCCAATTTCCGAACTTGGAAACATAATTGGCAAGTTCGCAACGAACTTGGGAACCGCGCGTTGAAAAGTGACTTGAAATCGACAATAATGCTGCAAAGAAATTAGAATACGCAAGTACAGCAAGCGAAGTAGCTAAGTCGGGTATAAAGTGATATATTATAAGATCAGGAAAACCCTTGCTTGTCGATATTTGGTACCACAATTTTTTCTACTATATAAACGGAATACTGTGATCATGAAGTTTACTATTCCGTCACGCATTTTAGTATATTCGGAATAGCGGGAATTTCGACCCCTGATTTGCAGTATCTTAGGGCGCTTTCCATTAACACGGCCAGACCGGTCAGAACGGTCAAATTTTTGAATGGAACACAAAACATTTGGGCTTCGGACTTACTGACCAGAAAATTTAGATAACATTAGAATGAGGTCCATTTTCGCTAGATATTTGAGAAACATAGACCAGATATTTCCATTGGTACAGAGAAATTAAAGAATTTGGGTCTGACCAGTCAAGCCATTAAATGGAAAGCGCCCCTAGTATCCTGACGATACCACTTTTCAATTTTGAATATCAGATGTTAAAACCTTGGTATCCGATCCCGCCTGGATACCAAAGAAATTGTTGGTGTACATACCGAAACCTTTAACTATTACATGTATTGTATTAACTTCCTGTTCAAGCATTGCAATTTGCTTCAAAACAGGAAACATATTTCCATTACTACCGTTCTACTTATTTTGTCATGAAGTACAATAAAATACCTTTGGTTAGTCATTAGTCAATATGTTTTTGTACAGTTTTATGATATATGATGATTCCAAATATTAGCCAGCATACTGTCTGTATTCTTGCATTCACTATTCTCTAATCGTATCAAAGTTGGATACAAGTTTTTCAGTTTGGATACCAATTTTGAAGTGCTGGTATCCTTTAATGGATACCACCGGAAAATTCTAATTTCAAACCCTGGAGGAGGCATAGAGGTTAAAAATTGGGAACACTGCTAAATTTGGGGGACAAATTCAAGTCCCGGATATAAAATCTCATTGGCTGATTTGAAACTCCTCACCAATGCACATCCGGGACTAATGATTTCCCCTCTCTCCTCCGCAGAGGCTTTTCCTTCGCCTTTCCCTTTGCCGCTTGCGCTCCTTCGCCCAGCGGCTACGCTCGTGTTCCAAGATCCGCCATGTAGAGTGTAGTGAAATGTATCTCATCGTAATATTAAATCCTAAGAAAACTAAAGCCTCTGCGGAGGAGAGAGTGATTTCCCCCAATAGCCGCGTTCCCTTTTTTGACTGAATTAAGATTACAATGCCTGACCTCTTGTGTTATTTATAATTTAATACTCCCATCCAGAAAGTATGTCACTTTGGGTATGGGAGCCTTGTATTCTTGTATTGTGACATTAGTTAAAGCCTAACTTCCAATCAACTTTCTGGAAGCGACTGACTATAACCCATAGAAGCTTTAACCGTAACCTGACCCAACTTTTTAAAACTTGTTATTTTCAGATATTCCACCATTTTATAAAGTTCTATCTACCAGTTATGGGTTGCCGGACAATACTCCCATAACACTCAGGATCATTTATTTTGACCCGTCCGAACTTTGTGGATTTGGTGCAAAGCCAACAGATAATCTTCAGTTTGTTATCCAACACTACAAAGAGTATGATTCGAAATGTTTTTATCTGGGTCAGGTAAGTGGCCTTTGTGAATGTCAGACACTATTCAATATCATGTGATCATACAATAATCAACCAATTAAAAGACTAGTCGTTCACACTTACGCCAGAGCAAAATTGTTTGCAAACATCTCTTTTGCCTTAACATGCAATTTGAGCATGGTTTCTAAACGAAACGAGATAAAAACGGCGCGCTTGGCAGCTTCGTGTGAACACAAATGCCGTTACTTTTTTTAACCGCTTGCAAACCAAGCATCTTGAGCTCTCAAAACAGTAAAATCGAATGCTTTTCGTTTAAATTTCTTTGCTCTATATGAAATATTTTGGGTTTACATGAGTGCTAATTTATGGCAATGGCACAATGACTGTAATGGCACAATGTGAATACACATAAATTCTCTTGGCGTTATTTTGCTCAAGTGTAGTGTGAACATACGTTGACAGGAAATTTTTGGTCTGCGAAGCCTGCTGCCCGGAAGAAAAATATTTTATCAAGGCTTGAGCATCACCTCCGGTGAAATGGCGGACTGTGATTCTGGGAACGAGACGAGTCTCTACAGCCCAACCAGTGATGAGCGGCACTCATCTATATTCGGGTGGGCTTATATTCGGAGGTTTACCGCATTGAAAATTTGAAAATTATAATTTAATTTGTTATTAAGAGGAGATTTTTTTGTATGTTACGTAACACGCGCTCAAAACTAATGCGTATAATATATCGCTTGAGGTTATGACTAAATTCAAAATTTTTATTTTTCGATACGTTTCTCAATCGGCAAACAAACTTAAAAAGTGTGTTTAGTGCTTTATCTGTAAAATAATGTCAAAATGAAGAGATTTTAGATGATACGCCAAAGAGAAAATGATGTCTGAAGTTCAGTATAAATAAGTTCAGTTTCAAGTATAAATGCCTATATATAAATGCCATCTTTACAGAGAAATATCAGACCTCGGTCTTTTTGTACAAACCTCGCTCTACAGGCTCGGTCTGTAGTCTGTACAAAAAATACCTCGGTCCAATATTGGAAAAACCACTTCAGGGGTTAGCGGTTAGGGGTTATAGGATTGCTCAGGTATATACCTAGCATGGATACTACAAACTAATCGAACTTCAGCGCGCTATTGTATCTGAATTACTCTGCGTATGAAAGAGTTTTTTTCACATCCAGAAAGATCAGGCTTTTAGCTGGACTCTTAGTGGTCTCTCCTTTAATAGATCATAGCGCTCAACCAATAAAAGCACTTGAATTTTATATAGAAATGAATAGATAAGTTTATCACGAATAGGAAATTTTCAATTTTAGAAAACCGCGCCGTACACTGACAAGACAACAGAAGTGAACTTCAATGATGTAATAATCAGAAAGACAGAAGTTCTATATTTTGACTACGCAGTGAAATCTTTGGCAAGTAACAAGACGACATCTTCGCAACGGTTGAAATTTATGACTGATCGAACTTCATGTAAGTTAAAAGATAAAGACTATTTAAGGATAGGTACATTAAGGGCAAATAGGTAGATCTTGGATTTTGAGAGGCCCGATGTTTATAACCTGCAGAATCGTTCACAGAGAGCTTTTGAGATTGAAACCTGTTGCGAAAATTTTATTTACAACAATATATTCACGTGAACAGAGCAATAACACTCAATCTGCTTCTAAGGTGGTGAACCAGCCCGGGTAATTGCATTTATATGGAAAATGCCAGGGATGGATCCAGCATGATCTGATAGGGAGGGTAAAAAATAGCCAGGGTGTTAGCCAGAAGTAAAAAAAATCCGCGTTTACCTGAAATTGGGAAATTTATTTTAGCCTGAAGCCGGGCATTTCTTTGTGGGTCTGGGGGCATGCGGTTGCCCCCTCTCGATTTTTAAAATTTTATGTCTTTGAAATGGCATTTCCCGCATTTCGGGAGAAATTTTGAGCAAATGTAGTTATAAACATGTTTTTAATGGCGTGTTGACAACATTGAATTTCTATAAATCTTTTTTGGCTGACCCAAATTGGGAAATTGCGACCTCAAGGGAAAAAGCTGTTATCGTAATTGAATACGTCTATGCTACAGACCAGCGGTTTCTGCATTATTTTAACATCGAGACGAGGCCATAGGGTCATGTTTTGTGTTTTTTACCCTTTAGCCTCGTTTTCGTGAGTACTTCCACTGAGATACCGCTGGTATTCCGCAGCGGCGTATTCAATTACGATAACAGCTATTGGGAAAACCGAGTTTAACGCGGAATTTTTTACTGTAGCTAACACCCTGATAGCATATATCATGAAAAATAGCACACACCCCTCTGCACTCTCTCTGGCCAGGGCTGGAGGGGCACCCCCCACTCCCCCCCCACTCCCCCCAGTAAATCCATTCTTGGAAAAGGCCCAGTTACCCAAGGTCTCCAGTCAGTCGAGATGCGATCTTGCCAATAGGCGGTCCAGCTCAGTTCCCATATTAATGCAAAATGAAATTTAGTAGGAAATAGTGCAACAGGCGGGAACTCGCCTAAACTGGCCAGCTCAGGGTACCCGGGCTAGCTCTCAGGCTCGCCCCATTTAAACAGCCCCTAATACTGTGCTGTTTTTACCACATTAAAAGTAATTTCTGTTTTTCATTGTAAAGCTACGAAATGCAGTATTATTGGTGGGGTTACATATATATCATGGAGACCGCAATGGAACTGTTTTGACGAGAATATAATCGAACAAGCACAATTCTGTTTCTACGATGGTCCGTGTTTCCCTGTGTGTGAAGCTTCGTTTTTCGCGAATGGAACTTTTCGTGCAGCACGAACTTACGAGGATGAAATCATTAACGTTTGCCGCAAACGAGACGACTGCAAGTTTATATCCGATCAAGATTCTACTAAAATTAACAATGTTTCTAATAAATTTATCAATGTTTTGTGGTCACCTGAAACTCGGAGAATAACTTGTGCTTTGTTCAGGACTTGTATGCATTATACTTACACATTTTCAGTCAAGGCATTCTCATTCAATGATGGAAGAGAGAGGATACTAGATAATGTTGACGTCTGCCGTGAAAACACCAGTCCCATTGATAACAGTACGTTCTAAATAGTCCAGTTCATTAGTTCGGTCCCAAGACAGGGCATTTTAGCTTAAGGAGGATTTATAATTCTTCTTTAATTGCTGGAAAAAGGGCACTTTTATTCCACAAAAAAAGCACATTTTCTCTGTGTGTGTGTGGGGGGGGGGGGCACCTGCGCCCAATGCCCCCCGGTTCCGCGGCCTCTGAATACTATCAAAACTGTTAAAGTGGTAAATAGGTCCCTCGAGATTTGCATGCATGAAATTGAATGAACTTCTTAAAGCTTAATCTGCAATGTTCTATTGGAAATGGCACTTTTATGATCGAGAAAATTATCTTTAGAGCTCTTTAAAAGTAGCATTTTTTGACTCTTTGAAGGTGTGACTCTTTGAAGGTATAGAGTCGACAACATTATACCTCGACGATTAAATTAGTCTGGCATTAGACAGTAAAATAAAAAAGTAAGGCCGAACAAAAAAGCTGTTGGTTTCTTTTTTTTACAAAAATGTAGTTCTGTTTAGCATTATAGTTCTCTTAATCGTTATTGATCTTAAGTTACAATTATTAACAAAATATTAACAAAATGAATAATCACAAGAGTCACGAATTTATCTACATAGCAATTTTTAAATCTATTAGATTTAATTTTAGGATATGGATACAGCTTCGTCTTCTAAGGTTGTAATTTGTTGACTAGTACTGTGGTAGAAACTCTTTTTTTTAACCGAATTGTCTTTCTATGGAACAATCTCTCTCCGATCATTCGTAACAGTTTTCTAAATGCCGTTCTTTCAACCTAAGTTTTTGCTCATAATCTTAACCGATTAATTTTTATATTGATTGTGTAAATAGTGTCCTAGTCCTTGTCTTTAATGTATGTCTATCTAATGTTTTGTATTAGGTTGGTCTTCACATGGGACCATGGGCGTACCGGAAGGAAAAAATTAGGGGGGCGGAAAGAAAATTGCCCAACTTTTCGGGATTCTGCCCGACTAGTACCAAAAATTTTTTTCCGGAAAAATTATTTTGGCGACTTCCCCCCCCCGTCGCCAAAAAATTTCAGTCAGTGTACCATTTTAGGGGTCAAAAAATTTTTCCGGACAGCCAATATTTTTCGGAACATAACACAAATTTTCGAAAAATCACAAAATTTGCCAAAAAATGACTTAATTTTAGACAAAATTGACAGAATTTGCCCCGTTTTTTTTATTGCAAACCAAAATTGCCCGACTGTTGATCGAATATTGCCCGACTGCTCAAAAAACTGGGGGGGGGGGGCTACCGCCCCCGCCCGGTACGCCTATGCATGGGACTCATGTCCTGTTGACCATACCTTCAGTCATTGCTTTTCTTTTTTATGATAGTAGAGTTAATAAAGACTTTTGCCTTCAACAAAGTCAAGTGCAAAAAACATCTTTTAAAGTAACGCTGTGATTTTATATATTTATACTAGATCAACCAGCCGTTCCACATGGCGTTCATGCAATTGATATCCAGGCGAACCAGGTTACAATCACGTGGAAATCCCCAAGATGTGAGCTGGAGGTTCTAGGATGTGAAGTGCATGTGATTTTTAATGGCGAGAAAACTGAGGTGTGTAAATGCATGGTATGGTATGGTATGGTATGGTATGGTATGGTATGGTGAGGTAATGGTATGGTGTGGTAATGGTGTGGTATGATATAGTATGGTGTGATATGGTGTTGTATGGTATGGTGTGGTAGATATGGTATGGTGTGATATGGTGTTGTATGGTATGGTATGGTGTGGTATGGTATGGTATGGTGAGGTAATGGTATGGTGTGGTATAGTATGGTGTGGTGTGGTATCGTGTGGTGTGGTATCGTGTGGTATCGTGTGGTATGGTATGGTATGGTATGGTGTGGTGTGATTGTCGGAACTAATGTAAACATTAACAGCAGACGCTATACTAATCAACTAACATAAATAATATAGTTCATGTTTATTATACTAACCTAATTACTAATCACCGGAAGTGACGGCGCTAATTCATTGTTTGGTTTAGCCAATAGACAGAGACTTTTTACATGTGCTTTATGGGGGAATATATTTTTTATTGGGATCGGAAAATTTGTAGTTTTTACTTGTGAGAAAAATATGAGAGAGAAATTGTGATTTTAAACTGTGATTAGCTCTGTTTCATGTGATCATTGTTTGGGCGACGGGCAATAGTTCCTATATGGTGTGGTGTGTGGTATGGTATGGTATTCCTGCACTGCTAACGCCTGGCTCCATATGGTCGTAATTGTCGCGAACGTGTTGTAACTAAGTAGTGTTCAAAAACGTGTCGTTTTAATTCCAACAGAAAAACGACACCGTGGCAACAGTTTTGCAACAATCAAGGGGGGGGGGGATGGTCCCCTTTGGGGGACCGTCAGGGTGTTCACTGCCCTTGAAAATCCTGGAAAGTTCTTGAATTGGAAAAACAAAATTCCAGTACTGGAAAGTCCTTGAAAATCCTGGAATTAATTTCCTTAACCTCCAGTTGTGCCAACATCAGTGACTATTTATTTTAATTTTGGGATAGGTAGTAGGACCTCTATATGCGTCTGAGATCTCTCGTTTGTGACTTAGTTATAAGCATTATTTATTTAATGGATTTCTTATATTTTCAATGGGGTCTGAAAAGTAGACCATGCTGTGAAATATTGTATATTAGGCGCATATAATGCGTGTTCTGTTTGGTGTCTTTTGTATGTAAATTCATTGGAGAAGTCCCCCCCCCCCTTACACGCTACAGACAATAGTACTTTACTTTTACTTTGTACTTCAAGTATTTTTTAAGGATACTTTGTACTTTTTACTTAAGTACGTTTTACCTCCAGTACTTAGTTTTTACTCTTACTCAAGTCGTTTTATTGTTAATCACTTTCTACTTTTACTCGAGTACAAATTCAAAGTTTCTTAGGCACCACTGGTTGCAACCATATAGAGACCAGTCTTAAGGACGACAAATAGATCATTATCATTTCTTTAGAAACACAAGGATCTCGGCACCGATGGGTTAAACAACATATACGAATTCACAAAGAAAAACCTTCCTCCGTTTGAAAAAGCGACGTTCCAGGTTTTAACTGAATGTTTTGCAGGCAGTCGTATTGGTGTAAGGTCGCCTTTGCAAACAGTAACTACGAAACCATCAGGTATGCAGAAGAATGGACCAATAGACAACTTGCATGTTAGACTAATTTTTGATTTAGGAAAAAAAAAGTAAATTCCCGTAAAGAACTTATTAAAGTCAGTAAAATTGAAAAATTTGGTTACGAAATGTTATAAAATACAGAAAATATAGCCTTGCGAAGTTTGCATATTTTCAGTATGTTTGTATTACGTGCGGAAATTGTTACCATTTTTGAGCCGAAAATGGTAACAATTTCCACACGTAATACAAATTACTGAAAATATGCAAACTTCGCAAGGCTATATTTTCTGTATTTTACAACATTTCGCAACCAAATTTTGCAATTTTACTAATTTCATTATTTTCTTTTTAACTGTTGTGTTTTATTCCCTTCTCTTTACTTAGATTAAAATTTAGTCTAACATGCAAGTTGTCCATTGGTCAGGCAATGACTGCGCCAGTTGGTCACTGACTCGCATGGTGGGTGGTTTGGTTAGTCAGTTAGTTAATACTTTATATAAAGAGGGAAAAAACAATATTTACATAGTTACCACTAAGCAGGGCCCCCGAGAGGTGGGGCAGGGGTGGGCAAATTGCCCCGGGTCCCCACCTTAATAGTGCCCCAACTTGAGAGCCTTAAATTCGTCCGAGCATTTTTGAAATTGAAGGCCCCTTACAGTAGCTGCACATGCAGTCGAGCTAATGTCTAGTTGGGCGACTGACTTGGGTCTACCTTAAAAATAATGATGTCATAGGGCCCCCAGAGAAGATTTGCCCGGGCCCAGCAAATTCTCTCGGAGGCCCTGCCACTAAGGTGTTCTTCCGGTACGTACATTGTCATAGGTGAGTTGTGTGCTTGATTTATACAGTACAACTCGAGTTGTAAACAGGTTGCATGCGACAGTTTTAGGCAAACGTTGTGTAGTGTAAATATCGGCCTTTAGAACAACCTCGTAACAACTATGATAATGCCATCAAGCCTGTTACAAGTTGTCGACAGCTTATTCCAAACTTGTTACAACAACTGGGAACAAGCAGTGCGATCACAACTTTTCGACAGCTTGTGAACAGATTTGTAACAACTTGTTTGCAGACCTGTAACAATTTTCACGTGCGTAGGTAGATTTTGTCCCAGTGTTGGTAACATGCATGCATATTACGCAGCCTAGACCTAGGCCTTTTATACTCGGCTGGTAATTATCGCAATGGTCATTTGCCTCGTAAAGGCCTAGTAGATTTCACAAGTTCTCAAATTAGCCCCATAACTTTGTGAACCGAAATTGATCAGAAACGAACAACTAAAGCAATTTATACTGTCCAGTAGTTATTAAATTAACTATAAAAACATTTTGTGACTAAACTAAGTTCTATTTTGTAGTAATATTTTGACTCATTTTGACCTAATTCGCAACATAATAATAGTGTTCCTTTTTTAATTCAAACTTTATGATAAAAAACCCGATTTTCTAGGCGTGTATACAAATAAAAATAGTAAGTTTATACTATAAATGAGTTTATTTCACCTGTATCGGTTTAAATTCGCTGTTAAGTTGCAAATAATTATGTTTGAGAACGCAACAATTGGGCATTTCGCAACCAGGGCAGTTTCAGGACAGTTTTGGCCTTGTTGTTGGGAAATCCACTAGGCCTTCTATTTTTTCGCTTGCGCATCCTCCGCCCGCCCTCAAATCACCTAGTCCCAGCCTTTTCATGTGAAAAAGCGCTGAATATTAAAAAAAAAAATAGAAGGCCTAGGTCTAGGGTGCATATTAGGAAGTTTCAGAACACTTCGACTCAGGTGTTTTTATTTTTAGCTCCACAGTTCGCGCCAAATTTGATAACTATTGAAAGTGTAGACAAAGCCAAAGGATTGACGAACATCCGACTAACTTGGGAGGTATTGTATGCTATTTTGACTATGATCTAGTTTGTGCCAGTGTGGGTAGTGCTAGAATAAGAATGCTTTGGATTGATAGGGATACAACTACCTGAAAAATACAAGGAGAACTTTGGCGTTTCGAGCCCTTTTGTCGGGAAGTTAGTGTGTTGATAAGAATAGCCCTAACTATACCTCGGGTCTCTGGAAGAACAGTTTAGAAATGATAGAGCTATCCAGTATAAAATTAGATCAATAATAGTTGATCCTTACTGGACCTCTAGAGAGAACAGTTTAGAACTGATAGAGCTATCCAGTTTAAATGAAGTTAGTTTAGTTCAGATTTTATCCTGTATAGTAACACTGGATCAATAAGAGATGATCCTTACTGGACTCCTGGGAAGAACAGTTTCGAACTGATAGAGCTATCCAGTATAAATAAAGTTAGTTTAGTGTAGGTTTCCTCCTGTAGTAACACTGGATCAATAAGAGGTGATCCTTACTGGACCTCTAGGGAGAACAGTTTAGAACTGATAGAGCTATCCAGTATAAGTAAAGTTAGTTTAGTTTAGGTTTCCTCCTGTAGTAACAATGGATCAATAAGAGATGATCTTTACTGGACCTCTAGGGAGAACAGTTTAGAACTGATAGAGCTATCCAGTATAAATAAAGTTAGTTTAGTTTAGGTTTTTCCTGTAGTAACATTGGATCAATAAGAGATGATCCTTACTGGACCTCTAGGGAGAACAGTTTAGAACTGATAGAGTTATCCAGTATAAATAAAGTTAGTTTAGTTTAGGTTTTTCCTGTAGTAACATTGGATCAATAAGAGATGATCCTTACTGGACCTCTAGGGAGAACAGTTTAGAACTGATAGAGTTATCCAGTACAATTGAAGTTAGTTTAGTTCAGATTTTTTCCTGTAGTTATGTTGGATTAGTAAGAGATGATCCTTACTGGACCCCTGGGAAGAATAGTTGAGAACTGATAGAGCTATCCAATATTAATAAAGTTAGGTTAGTTTAGGTTTCCTCCCGTAGTAACACTGGATCAATAAGAGATGAAACCTCTAGAGAGAACAGTTTAGAACTGATAGAGCTATCCAGTATAAATAAAGTTAGTTTATAGTTCGGGTTTCATCCTGTAGTAACACTGGATCAATAAGAGATGTTCCTTACTGGACCTCTAGGAAGGACAGCTTAGAACTGATAGAGCTATCCAGTATAAATAAAGTTAGTTTGCACATTTGTATTAACCCCCATTTGAAATAACCATAAAGCATCACGTATAAAGTGAATGTATACAATCACTATAGTCATTCCGAGATGTTGCTTTGAAAATATTTTGACAGTAAAAATGAGACGTACAGTCTGCCTTTTGCAATGTAAATACGTAAACCGCATACGATCTCCTGATTTGGTTAGTTATCTGTTTCAGTGAGTGTGCATGGCAACTCTTATATGGCCGTACGACAGCACTTTCCTTACAATGGTAACTCCAAGTTTAGTTTACAAAGTCCATGCTTTTATGTTTTTTAGTATCGTGGGGGTGCTCAGTATTTACACGGCGTTCCCAATGAGACCAGAATTATAGGACTGGTGAACAAGACTGTTGTTGTTTATGAAGAAACTATCAATAGTAGTGAAAAGACTACTACACTCACTGTCAATCAAACACAGAGATGTGCTTTTTACCAAGTCAAGATTTGTAATGCACCTGATCTGTGCAGTAATTACTCCAATCCACCACGTCGATTGCGAAATTGCGAAATAGGTATGGAACATTATAGTTTGATCTGGTATGGTGTGGTATAAAAAGGTATGGTGTGTAGTGGTATAGCGTGGTATGGTATTGTGCGGTGTTGTATGGTGTGTAGTGGTATGGTATGGTATGTTGTAGTGTATGGTATGGTATAGTATGGTATGTTGAAGTGTATGGTATGGTATGGTATGTTGAAGTGTATGGTATGGTATGGTATGGTATGTTGAAGTGTATGGTATGGTATGGTATGGTATGTTGAAGTGCATGGTATGGTATTTTGAAGGGTAGGGTATGGTATGGTATGTTGAAGTGTATGGTATGGTATGGTATGTTGAAGTGTATATGGTATGGTATGGTATGTTGAAGTGTATGGTATGGTATGTTGTAGTGTATGGTATGGTATGGTATGGTATGGTATGGTATGGTATGTTGAAGTGTATGGTATGGTATGGTATGTTGAAGTGTATGGTATGGTATGGTATGTTGAAGTGTATGGTATGGTATTTTGAAGTGTATGGTATGGTATGGTATGTTGAAGTGTATGGTATGGTATGGTATGTTGAAGTGTATGGTATGGTATGTTGAAGTGTATGGTATGGTATGGTATGGTATGGTATGGTATGGTTAGGTAAGCTGAACCAAAATATGGTATATTCATGGTGTGGTACAGTATGGTGTGTGGTATGGTGTGTTATCTTATGATGTGTGGCAAAGTATGATATGGTAATGTGATGATTATGGTAGGGTGATATGAAAGTGATTTATAATATTCTACCCCTGATCTTCAGTAGCAGGGTTAACTCACTTACTCAGAGCAGTAAAGGCCGTTCTCCACTAGGCGAATTTATTCGCGCGAACAGATAAAAAGTAGGAAGCGATCCTACTTTTTCGCCGCGAATTTTTTCGCCGACCAATCACGTTGCCGGATTTCGGTTTTCGCTTCGCGTCGCGCGAAAAAATTCGCCTAGTGGAAAACGGCCTTAAGGGTCAAGCACGTCTTCCTCGCGTGCTTTCTTGATGATTGTTCTTATTCCTAGAAGCACCCACACCAGCCCCAGAATCACCACCACCATCATCAAACGCTTTCTGGGTTGTCATCATTGCAGTTGTTACGATTTTTATCGTCCTAGTTGCTGTGTTAATCACTACTTACGTCTATTGCCAAAAGCGAAGGTGAGTAGGGGAAGAACTGGGATTATGTACTATTTAAAGCACTTGTAGTCGTGTTTTATCAGATATAAAACGCGAGGCGCAACCGAGCGTTTTATATCTGATAAAACACAACGACAAGTGCTTTAAATGGCTTAAAAACGACTCATCTCATCGAGTTCATTGGCGAAGTAATTTTTAAAATAAACTTTGT